CTCCTCCTCCTCCTCCTCCTCCTCCTCCTCCTTCTTCTTCTTCTTCTTCTCTCTCTCTCTCTCTCTCTCTCTCTCTCTCTCTCTCTCTCTCTTTCTTCTGGTCTTTCTGCCTTTGTATGTTAAAACCTGTCCCAAAAAGCCATGTGCTGAATACTTCCTACTGTTCTGATATGTTTGAGGACTCTGATATCATAGTAGCATCACAGACTTGAATTCACCATCCTCATCCCCTCAGATTAGTTCATCAACATTAAAAGTTAGAGAAAGGAAGAAAGTGCAGCCTTATTAGAAGAGTAAGACTTAAAAAAATGAAGATGAATACAGTGTCATTTTTACTGTCTTACAAGTTGTTCTTTAGGCTTCAATAATTCTCCTTCATACACTTTTGTCTTTAATGTCCTTGCGCTCTGTCTAGATCGAATCTCTGTTGTCCATATAAAACAAGACAGTTAAATGCAATGGTGAAATGACTAAATCAACATTTGAGTGACAAAATGAATGTCAGAAAAAGACCCATAGTTAATGCAGCCTCTTTCTAAATGTGCTTATTCACTTATGCAGATTATTTCACCACTTTCACTTACTGCTGAGGGGCAGAAAACTCTGTCCCCACAGCTCTCCAGTTATGGAGGATATTTGCAAAACCCAGTCTCATCATTATTCATGATGTCATTTCAATCTAAGCAGAAGAGGGAGTGGGGAGATTGTAAGAGCCAGAGAGGGTGGGGCAGCTGTTGTAAGTAAGGTAGTCTCATAAAATAAAAGGAGAGGAGGGAGTGGACCTGGAGGAGTCAGGGAAGGAGTGGAATGAGTATAATCAAGAAATGTTGTAAAGTAGATATCCCTTCAGTCTTTTTCCCCCTTTCTTTTCCTTTGCTTGAAAATAGATTCTCCTCTCATACAACATATCCTGATTATAGTTTTCCCTTCGTTCTCCCCTCCCAGTTCTTCATCCCTTCTCCTCCCCTCTGGATCTACTCCCTTTCTTTTGCTCATTAGAAAAGAACAGGTCTCTAAGACATAACAACCAAACATGGCAACATAAAAATATAATAAGATCAAGCAAAAACCGTCATATCAAAATCGGACAGGGAAACGCAACAGGAGGAAAAGAGCAGACTCAAGAATCAGACACCCACTCTTTCTCATATTCAGGAGTCCCATAAAAACACTAAGATAAAAAGCTATAATATATACAAAGAGAACCTGGTGCAGAATCATGTAGGCCCTGTGCTTGCTGCTCCAGTTTCTGAGTTCATAAGATGCTTCCTTAGTTGATTCAGAAGACCATGTTCTCCTGGTATTCCCCATCCCCTCTAGCTGTTACAGTCTTTCTGTTTCTTCTTCCTTGGGGTTCCCTGAGTTCTGAGGGAAGGGATTTAATGGAGACATCCCATTTAATTTCTCTTTTGTTTATATTTAGTTATTCAGATTGCATGACATTCTGAAACACAATTATTTAATTTATTTAAGATATTTCATAGTCCAGCAACATATTTATTAATCAATAAACATGATGAATCTGAGGAATTTTTCTTTTGGGATCAGTGACATGTATAATAAAAAAGAGTATTTCTTCCTGTATCAACTCTACTCCAAATTGTATAATGGCACAAACACTTTCATATAAGCAGATCTGCCTTTCCTTTTATTCATTTTGCACTTGAACTTTCCTTTTTAGATGCAGATGAGAAAAGTATGTGGCTTGTTTATGAGTTAATAAATCTATATTGCAATTTAATAGACTCTGAAAGACATACTTAAATTGCTTGTTACAACAATATTCAAAGCAAATGCTTCTTAAAGTTCACTCAGTTGTATAATATGTCTTATGTTTATGATTTGGGATAATACTACAGTCATTGAACATATTTTAAAGTAGACTTGAAATATATCTTCACTTTAAATTGCCCCATCCTAAACAATAACCACTATAAAAATCATGGATGTGAATATTTTATAGATATTCTGATCCTATGCATAAAATAAACATAACTTGATCATAGCTAGCCTAAAACTATTTATCCCACAATGTAGAAAACATTGGAAATTCAAAGTGAAATGATGAAAATTTGTATAGGCATAGAAATTAGTTTAGGATTCTGTTTTGGAGTACAGCTCCTTAACTCAGACCACTATTAGGATACTACAAATGTATTATCCAGTAGTAAGTACTCTGACTAGTTGTCTAGTCTATGACAGTCTTTGCCTCATTTTTTCCTGTTTGAGATTGAAAATATAATCTGTAACCTTTAACCTTTCCTACATCCAGCACAAACAACCAGGTATCCTGAAGTGAGTGGCAAGGATGCTGAGGACAGTTTGAGAAGGAGTGATGAGGTTTTATCAAAAAACAGAAACCATCTAGGAGATGATTTCCTGATGTCTTAATGGCTGACAAAGGAAAGGAGATGGGGGATGCTGGGTCTTCAGGGGTGCGGGTGTGCAGAAAATGGTCAGTCTAGCACAGAGGAGCAACTACAATTCTTCGGTCTGTTGGGACATGGCCACCAGAGTTGTTGAAGAGAGCTGATCACTTTACCCTGACATCCAGAAAAGGCCACACACTGTGTGAGGTTTAGGCAGATGCTTTTTGGATCTTTTGTAAATGGGAACATTGACCACTTGGCTAACCTAGGCATTTCATAGATCTTCCATCACTCGAATCTCAAGAACAATGTAGGTTCAAAATGAACACTTATTTTGCAAATGGAGAAACTGGGACTACGATTTGGGAGGGACTAAATTTGAATCTAAGTCAGCATGACTCAAAGCCTGTCTATTAACCATAACTTCATCTTATGAATGAGCTTTGGCAAATGTAAAATTTGAGGGAGTTCTGGTCAGAAACTTTCTTTGCCCATTCAACCAAACTAAAGCCACACTGTCTCCTCGAGGAAACCAAAACAACAAGAAAAAAGCTTTCATGGTAGACTATAATTGTGTGAAAAGGAAGTTGAAAACCCATTATCTTGGCTCTGGTTTTCTTCTGATCTCTGAGAATGCCACTCAAACTTAAGTTTAAGCTGTCATTGATTGGTTTTGAGAGTGGACAAAGGAACAGAAGGAAACAACATTCCCAAGCAAAACTGCACCTTAAGGATTGATACTGTTATGGCTTTAAGAACAGACAGTGAAAGAAAATAATTCAGAAGTCATGATGTTTATTTCCAAAAATGAGGATGCAAAATCAACCTGAGGTTTGGATCCTTCTTGCTTGCCTAAGTGTGTGTGTGTGTGTGTGTGTGTGTGTGTGTGTGTGTGTGTGTGTGTGTGTGTTGCATTTATAAAAATGTCTATTCAAGTAAAATGAAAGGGTGGTTTTTATTTTGTCAGTACATCAGGGAGTCTCAAACACTCTCAAAGGGTGTAAGGGATGTTTTGAAACATAAATAACTCAAAAGCATTTACAAGAAATATGGACCTTAATGATGTTTTCAGTAGAGAGAAACTTAAGAAGACAAATAGTCATAGCAGGCAGTAATAAACTCTAAAGGTTTGGGAAAAACTGATTTAGCAACAACAGAGAGGGGGACAGAAAGAGAAGAAGAGGAGGAGGAAGGGGATAAAGGGAAAGGGAAGGGGTGAAGGAAGGGAAAGGAAGAGAAGGGGAGGGAAGGGCAAAAAGGCAGAAACCAGGAAGCAGGAGAAGAGTATTCATAGTCTTGGGATGCCTCTCACTGAGTGAAACTCTTATTTTCACTGCATTTATTAATATTTTCACATAGCTCTCTTAATTGTTATATTATAAAATTCATATTCAAATTAAAGTCGTTTTACTCCTTTGGATTTGCATCTTAAAATTTTATAGTAAATTGTACATTTTATTTTCTCCCTATTCTTAATTTTCTCTTAATGATATTTTATGGTTTCTCTCTGTGTGTGTGTGTGTGTGTGTGTGTGTGTGTCTGTCTGTCTGTCTGTCTGTCTGTCTAAGTGAGAAAACAATACCTCTCCCAAAGTGAGAGAGCTGGTTCTCTCCTCCTGTCACATAGGTTCCAGGGATCTACCAAGGTTAGCTGTCAGGTGCTCTTACCCCCTGATCTATGTCACAAGTCCTTCCTTTAATGGTTTCTGAGAAATCTTCATAAAGAAACATTCATGAAACATTTGAACCTCATTAAAACCAACAGTGTAGGAGCAAAATTACCTATCCCCACTAAATTGTGCTTTCATATATCATGAATAATTAAAATTAGTCAAAGGCCAGAACTCTGAGTGAAAGTCATACTACCAGATAACAACTGTCTTCCAAAGGCTTGCAGTAATTCAACTCCAGAAAAGAAATTAGTTTTCTTTTACTTTCATAATTTTCAAAATATTAATTTCCTAGGAAACAACTTAATTCAAAACAGTTGTTGGTAAGCATGTAACAACAACTAAGGAAAAAAGAGACCACAAATTTGAAAGGGAGTGAGGAGTGGTGTATGGGCAGGTTTAGAGAGAGGAAATGAAAGGGGAGATGATGTAATATTAATCTTTAAAAAAACAGAAAAAATTAAAGCTCCACAAAAAAGCAGTTGTCAAATTAATGGGTGAGTCTATGGCTGAATTAATGAGATTTTCTTTTTATTCTGTCACAGAGAAAAATGATAAAACACTAAGGATTTATTAAAATGCAATATGACTGAAGACAGAGCCTAGTGGATGAATATTTGCATATACAAAGCCCTGGCTTCATTCTCTAGCACCAAGAAAAGAAAAAGAAGGAACAAAACAACCCAGACAAACATAAAGCAATACATAATAGATGGCTTAACTTGAAATAGTTAAAAAGGAGAGCTCAGACGAGATTTGCCATGTTTTATTATAAATTTAGCATTTCCTTTTCAATTGATTAGGTGATGCTGAGAAACCAAGATTGTACAGCTTAGAAAATGAAAAGACATTTGTTTCTTTAATTAACCATCAACACACTACTAGATGAAAAACGTTTCATATTTGATGTGGTGTTTTGAATCAAGACAACTGACATCTACCTATCATTGTCTTCTTGAAGTAAACTCTGGTTTGATCTATATACAGAAGCATGCTAAATGCAGGTATTAACTTAGAAGCTTCCACAGATATTCCTCTTCCATTAATCCTCACTCACATTCATTCCAAGTGCATTTAGTATTTATTTTGTACTCTCAGAGTAATGCTCTCTACATTGACTTCAGAAAGTAAATCATATTAGTAGGCCAGGAGGAGTTCAGCTTTGGCAGTATCAAAGTGAGAACATACATATGGTAGCAGATCCCTAGGTATTGTGAGTTTAAAAGAAAAATTGCTGTAAAATAAGTGCCTGTTCTTTACTGCAAGTGGTACACAACAATCTGCACTCGGTTTCACAGTTCAGTTAAGGAGCCTTCCAGGAGGATCACAGCTGCTGTGAGTGTGGGGGATGAGCAGGAGAGGCTGCTGGAGACGGGGCTTGGGAGTACCATTGGATATTCAGAAGAGTGTACAGTCCAGTTATTCCCAAGAGGTCCTCTTGCTGCAGAGGGTAATTAATGGTCCCACTTCTCTTCTCTTTCACTTGCACTTTCTTCTTCTTCAGGGAATGCTGATCCGTTCTGGCCTTTCAGATGCTTAACCCCTGAAATTATAAAAATTGTGCAAAATTCAAGTGAATTTTATTTCTGGTAGATCCACTGCTGAAAGAGTTAATGAAAAAGGTGAAGTGGAAAACTTTTCATTTTGTGTGTGTGTTTTCTCCAAGAATCTAAACAATGGATCCCTATATAAACCTTTTCATTCACTGAGCAGTAAAAATACACCCAGAAAAATTTCCATTAGAGACAGGGTATCTTTTATAATTACATCTTCTCCATTAAGGATTGCATCACAGTCTATTAAAACCCTGTTAACTAAAGATCTGCTCAGAGGCCCTTAGTATAACTCTGATGTATCATTTAGTGAAAATATTGCTTTTGGCATCACTGAACTCAATTACAAGGAAGGCCTTTCAGAGTCATAATACCAAAAGGGATGTGTGCCATTTATGTAACGTATAAACAAAAAAGCAACAGTCACAATATTGTTAGCCATATTTTTGGACCCATAACATACTCATTGGATAATGGAATTCTTTTATTCAAAATTCTTCAATAAGTATGCCTACAGAGTGAAAGAGCCTAGGCATGTGTTTACCTATAGCTGCTGCTCCATTGGCTTGTCTGTCCTTGCCTAGTGGGTTTCATTTTCATAGGGCTTTATTTCCACCTTTTGTAGTAATTTCTGCTCTAAGTTTCTTCTAACCACCCTAGGCTCACTTAAGCCTCTAAGCTTTTCTCCTTTTGTAGTCAATGCTAAACCTCTTTCTCCTCTTCACATGTCTCATCACCTTCCACATACCCTGCAGGTATCAGCTTGTCTCTCCTGAAGGAAAGCACAATCCCCACATAGAGTTAGAAAGTTGCTTCCCATATCTACTAGCTGCTGACACTTTGTGTCAGTTACATTAAAGAACTTTGTTTACATCTTTCTAATTAGACAAAACTCATTGATGTCAGAGAATATGTAATTTCACTTTGCAGTTCCAGGAAGGATGTGTACCCAACAGTTTTAGTCTAACTGATTGACTGAATTAATGAGAAAATACTTCAGTATGTGCCCTGCCAATTTCAAAATCATTCATCTTCAGATTTATTTTGTTATTCCATATCTGAAGTACAATATTAGAAGATCACCACTCCACCCACATTTAACCTGAAGACTTATCTTCAAGTCCCCTTGACTATGATCTGCTAAGACAATATGCCAGCTGATATCTTCATGTGTGACAATTTTCATGCATTTTTATACTTTAGACAAATGTTTTATGAGATATTTCTAAGAATCATGAAAAATGTTCAAGTTAGAGTTGAAAAATAAAAGCAAGATCTGGCTCATGTTTTCAGTAAAACCAAGACTCAATAGATACATGAGTTTTTGGGCACTGCTACCACCAGGCTTAGTGCAATTTGGCAAGAAATGATATCTGGACTTGGTGCATTATCTTGCCACAATATTTGAGCAGGTGTAATAATATTTAAATATTTTAATATGCATATACAGATCACTCACAGTTTTTTGACATAAGACTGTAGAGAGAAAATTATTATTGGGAATTGAAACTTACTTCATATTACACTAACTAAATTGAAAAGAGGTCTAAATACTGAGAGGAAAGAAAGGGAGCTTATTGAATCCAACCAGGCACTGTGCTAGAATTTTGCTTGCATAGCTCATCAAAAGTCCATGATGTAAATACCTGATGGGGTGTTGAGATTCTGAAAACACAAGTAATTTGCTCTCAACTTTAAGGGTAGTATGGTGCCAAGGGGAGTTCTAGCATATCCTAGTGTGTGTGCTGGGTGTATAAACCACAGTGTTCCACTTTCAAGGTATCTCAGCTGGATTTCTACTTCAACATTTGAGATGCCAATCCACACACTCTAGCCATTCTCTAAGACATGTCCTAGGTTTGCAGCACCAATACCACCCTGGTGCAGGATGCTCTTAGGGTACTTTTGACATTGTTGCATTTCATGCTGCCATGCTGCACTCATTTTCCTGAGCAGAGGCTGACGGTTCCTCTCCAAGTTTGCTAAAGTCACATTGACTCCAGCACTCTTTCTATTCAACTACAAGGTGGTGAAATTGTGTTTGAGAATTTAAATGAGGAATGTTGATATTAATTTTGGTAAATGTAAGAACACTAGAAAGAAAAATGCCACATACTTAAGCATTAGCCAGTCTTTTGCCACATTTGAGTACAGGCCTGTTTCTTATCCTCATTTGAATTGTATTTCTTTTTATAATAACAATCACCTACCATAAATTTACACGAGACATAAATTTTCTGAAATAAAGCCACTCTGAAATGAAATATTTTCAAGGGAAAAGCTTTGATGAGGCAGAGCTGGTAACATGTTACCACAGAGATGTCCCGCAGAACACTTACCACAACTTCTTTTGTTTCTAAAGCAGTTTGCCCTAATGCCTTCTTGTAGTTGAAGAATGTATAGTTGATTAATTTAGTCCTGAAACCTTTATGAACCACTATTTTCCCTTTATCCATCAGCAATATTCATTTGGTTATAGGCCCAATGATGTTGAAACTAAAGTATACAGTTTGTTTATGTAGATTTTATAATGTCTTTCTATACACAGCTTTAATTTATGTTTTGGTTTCAATTTTTTAAAAATGCATATTCAATATTTGAGTAATCCCATAGACAGAGAGTAAACTATTCTGGAGGCATTGATGAAATTCTAAGACTCCTCCCTCATAGATGTGTGAGAAAAGCCATTCCCCTATACTTGGTCTATGATGGCTCACATTTCAGTCAGAATCCAGGGCAAGTGTAGACTCAGTTATGACTGCACACTGGCAGGAGACAAAGGAAACCCAGAAAGCACAATGGAGGTACCTTTCCCACAATAACATAAACACACAGAAAAGGGGCACACAGAAGGCCAGGCTATATAGCATGCATCTGTAAAAATATGAAGAAAATGGAGTTGAGGGCAGACCAAGTAGGCTACGTCAAAGGAGAAAACAGAGAGAGAGAGAGAGAGAGAGAGAGAGAGAGAGAGAGAGAGAGAGAGAGAGAGAATGAGCAATGCCCACAGGCAGACTTGGGTATGTGCTCCCTCTTAACTCTGTAAAGCAGGTGGTTTGGCAGACAGATAGGAGAACTGCCACAGTTTATCCTCAGCTTGGTCTACATAGTGAGTTGCAGGCTAGCTAAGGACATAGAGCAAAAGAGCAAAGTGATTCTCTCTCTCTCTCTCTCTCTCTCTCTCTCTCTCTCTCTCTCTCTCTCTCTCTGTTTCTCTCTCTCTCACACACACACATTATGAAGTCACTTTGGTTGATTGTAATTATATGACTAGTTTACACATGACGCTATAGGAGCTTCTCTTGCCTGGATCCGAACATGTGGCTTTATTGGGATATTCCCAATGACAGCAGCAGTTTAGGAAAGACATTTGAATGCTTTCCTGCAGGCTGTATGTATCAGAAGAACTATTCTATAGGAATAATATATGAAAATGGAAAGTTTGGGATATAGGAAATCAACAAAAGATCACAGAGACTCTGAATTTCTAAAATAGTGAAAGTCAATTAAAACCGATCCATGTAGCTCCTATGAGCAAAAATAGGGACAAGGGTCGACAATGAGGTAAGAAGTGGGTTGAGTTCAATATAGGAAAGATAGCTCCCAAATCTCCTGTTTGTTTAGCAAGAAATACATATGATTTTTGTTTCTTTTGTTATTTTGAGCAAGGGCACCATATTATATGTAGTTCATGCTGATCAGGAACTCATTTTGTAACCCAAGTTGACTTTAAACTCATGGAATCATTCTACAATGTCCTTGTGAAGAAGGCTGGGATTGTAGACTTGAACAAATGCTTGGCTCAAATGCACATTTTTTAAAACAAATTCACAAATGCATTGGGTAAATGTAAAATTAGATTTTCTTTTTTGGTAAAAGCATATTCTTTAGGTCTTAGCAATCACCCTAAAGTCCTTGGGGGAATCTGTGGGTGTATTTTGGAGAACCCATCACTCCATAAGAAGTCTATATTTTTTATTATATTTGTGCCTTTTCAATGAAAGAGCCCCACAATTTTCAACAGATCTTGGCTAGATCTCTTATCTCCAAATGATTATAAATATGAATATTAACCAATCTAATCTCTCTGGTTTAAAGAAGAAAGTGAAGTTTCCTGTTATATTCACTGAGAAACTATTGAGTGAACCAGGGCACAAACTTTAGCCCCTTGCTCCTACTGGGATCTCTTTGCCTTGGTAACTAGAGTGTAATCCTCCACTATCAATGATCTTTTACAAAGTGAGAACCAGAAAGAAAATACAGTGATGCAAGATTATGGGTCTCTTTTCATCATCAAACTAGATTTAGATGTAACCTACCCCATACTATTGGTTTTAGAGGAATCAAAGGTGTTGAATTTAATCTAACTTGCAGACACTCTTTAAACATAATCAGGTTTCAAATAATGATCAAGTCATGAGAAAAGAGGAAGCTTTCTGTCTGTTGTATACAAAACTTTGGACTGGACTCTTGACATGAAAAATGTGGTCATTTAATATTCATAGACAGGACCAAGCAGTTTGATTTAAATATAATAAGCCCCATCTGGGAAAGAGACAAAACTAGAGAATAGATAGGATATGGGATTAGGAGTGATGATGTGCACATGATTTAATTTAGTGGAAAAGCATTACAGACGAGTAGAACAAGCCATGCTGATGAGTAAAACAGTGCTCAAACTTGAGAAATAGGAATTTAGACAGCCATTTATAGAGCAATGGGCTGGTTAACAGCAAGCGTGGTGTCTATGCAAACAGTACTTGCAAAATATATTGAACAAGATTTAGTTTTCTAAAAGCCTGCTGTGTACAAAGGAATGATTTCTGTAGGCTTAGCAAGACCACTTACTAATGGTTCAGCTTATTTAAAATGTAATGTTAGATAGAGTCTCTTTAATCTCTAATGTGGCACTCAGAATGGCCTCTCAGTAAAGTCCTATCATTTCTTAGATTGGAAATGTGTTTTGACTTTCCTAAGATGTGTTCATATA